GAGAGAGGAGTTTTTAATCCCAGATCATTTCATATCAGTCAAACTGGTCAAGCAAATATACCTGGAATATCTAAGTCTTAAGTTAAATACCACCGTCTAAGGCAAAGGAATGTTGTGAGACTTACATTTAAAAATCTTCTCTTGGTGCACATCAGATAAAATGATCTTTTAACATCCTGCTTTAAACTAAAACACTTGTAGTGTTTTCTTCTTTTCTTTTTATTACTCCCAAGGTTCCCAAAACAATACCTTCACTGTATCCTCATTTTGTACAGTCAAATAGAAGACATTTTTCTTCTTTTCTCCTTTTTTCCTTTCTCCCCTTTTTCCCCCACAACCTACTAGCTTCCAAGGATGTAAGAGGGATAAAGGATCTTAAATCATCTATACATTAGTTGTATTATTAGATACCAAAAAGAGTTAACTTTCACTTTTCTGTAAAGTCTGTTTTTCCCAAGTCTATTATTTTTTCCAAATCTCACCTATCATTGTCTACATACAATGATAACCATGGAGAAATAAAGAGGCCTTGGCAGACAGAGGCCCTGAGAATGTCTATGGCTCAACTAGGCAAGCGTGAGCCCACCTCAGACAGAGCAGGACAGGAGACTCCCCCCCGACCCCCCGGCTCACCCGGGAGCAGGCGCAGTCATCCTTGCCAAAGCCTTTCTCACTGCTTCCATTCAAGCTTCTTCAGGACCCAGAGACATCCGGGGGTGATAGATGTGCGCATCAACGCCGCATGTTTACAAGCCTTAGTTACAAAAGAACAGGCTTCCTTGACATCCTCTAACTCTCTTCTCTGCGGAATCTTTCAGGGTCCCAATCAATCATTACTAGCACAGGCCTGTCCTATTTCATCAATCAATGGAAGTGCCATCTATTAATATGGTTAAAGTTAGGGACGGTGTGACCACCACACAATAATAAACTGGAGGTGCCAAGTTTCCCTCAAAAGGCATGAAATGTGCTGTTATTTACAGCAGTCCTAATGAGCTGGGGATTCCGAGCCTGTAAGCCCCTGCCACTTCTGAAGCCTCTGCCAAGCCCACCACCATACCCTGGGGTCCTGGACAGCATCCCCTCACCCTCAGGAGACTTTACCTTGACACCACAGTGAAAGTTGCTCTGCCATCCACCTTCATTAAAAAGGTACCTCTCATCAGCAAAGTTGATTTGGGGAAATGAGAGAAAGGGTTCTATCTTTGCTCTTTTTTCTTCCTCTCTGTGACTGCTCGCAAAAGGAGAGAGGTCCCCAACTAGCTCTGTAGTGGAATACAATTAGGAGGTGATTTTATCTGTTTACTATTTAAAAATCAATTCTTCCACAGAGCAGAGGGCCAGCAGGCTACAGGTGCTCCCTGTTAAGAGGGAGGATGCATGCTTTTGGATCTCAGCTGCTTGATGTTCTTCCTCTGCAGAAACGTGATTTGTCATCAGTTAACAACCAGAAGCAGACAAAACAATCCCAGTGATTCCCAAACCAGGTAGACCTGCTCACACCACTTGACCTCTCTATGCTTTACTTCAGGAGATGCTCCTGAGCATTGAACACTCAACCCCATAGTGTAATGTGGTTACGGTCAGAAACCAGGCTGACCAAAACAGCACCTTAATTCCTGTATGTTCTGCCATCCATCCATTCCCTTCTCTCCTGCCCTTCTTGCTACTCAACTAATCTACTAACGCTTACCCATTCACTACCTCCAAGCTCTTCTAACACACAAAACCATGCTCTTTCAAAGCCCAGAGTCACCATCTTGTTTCTCTATCAAACGAAATCCATACCCTTTTAAGAAACTGAGATCAAATCCAGTGATCTCCACCAGGTTTTCCCTAACTAGTCCAGCCACCACATTGACCTATCCTTTCTTTTGATCCCTGTGGCATTTTGTAGTTGATACAGTATGACAAAAATGTTCTACTGTAGAAAGTTCCTAATCTGCCAACACAGGGAAGAGTTATGCAAGGTGAGTGGGTACCCTGCTCTCTGACTTTAACCTCTCTGCTCTATAACAGCCATTTCAATTATTTCAAAAGTGTTATTATCTTATTCCATGCAAGGTACAAAACTAAATGTAAGGAAAAAAAATTACAGATATTTTATCTTGCTTATATGCTTGCATGGAAGTTCACACCAATTCATAATCGCTTGCAGTGCACCTCCCAAGTTTACCCATTTCCCCACATATGTTCATTTGCATGTCAGGTTATTTCTCTCAGCTCCATTTAGTCTTTGAAGACAGAAATCCACTATGTTTTGATCCCAAGCCTCCCCACCTAGGTCCTCACTAAAATTATATTCTTCAGAAACAGTTCTGAGGGCATCCCTATACACTAATAACAGAATCGTTCAGAAATGACTGCCTCTTTCCTAGCCCATACTCAAGAAAGCCTAGTATATCATTCTTCTAACGCTGCTGTTTCTAACCTACTTCCAACCATATCACTGTGTGGCAAAAAGTTGGTGCTCCCATTTCTCAGTTATAAAGTCAAAAACTGTTCTAATATATTAGTGTGCTCACATGTGATTTTGACAACTCTGTCTTGGACCAGAGTGAAATGACTTTCAATTCACATATATTTATGATATAGAATGTAAGAGGGTTTTTGTTATGATCACACAATTTAATCCTTGATTATAAAGTATCATATATTCCTCTGGTTATTCCTTCTATATATGTCTTGTCTGAAGAGTGCTCCAAGGCAGAGAACAGGTTTTTCACTTCTTTTCCATCTCCCTGATCATCTTGGCAATTTGATTCCATGTTGACATGTAAACAATAGTATGCTGTCAGGTTTAAAGAACACTAGAAGGGAAAAGTTTAACTTAAACTAGGAGTTGACAAATTTAGTAAAGAGCTAGAAAGTTAGTATTTTAAGCTTTGCAGTCCATATAGCTTTTGAAACTATTAACTCTGCCATCGTAGCATGGAAATATCCATAAATAATACATACTCATAAATGAGTATGGCTATGTTCCAATACAACTTTATTTACAAAAACGGGGGCACACTGGATGAGGCCTACAGGCCATAGTTTGCTGACCTTGAACTTAAAGTATGAAAACATCAGAAGAGATAAATGATACACGACCACTCCACCAGTCACTACTCGAATTCAAACTCCACAAGTTTTTGACAGGTCATTAAACTGAAATCAAGGGAGGTAATGTATGTACACCTCAATGAAGATCTCTGTGAAATCAAGTGGTATGTTTGTGCCTAGAGAAGGCTCACTTCCAAGATTTTTGCGCTCCCTTACATCCTACCTCATTCCTGAATATTTTACTCCAGAAATAATCTTAGCCAAGTTTAAAAAGATCATTATATACTATTATTGACACCTTCCATTTGTTTTTATGTTTCATCTGAGTTGAAATAAATCAATTCCTAAATAAATGTCTATTTATTCAGGTGAGCATTTGAGTCTTTGGCTGACCTATTGGTTTCTGACAATTAAAAGTCATTGCTCAAGAATCCATATCCATGAATCCTTTCTTCCTTCTCTTCCTCCTGGTTAGTTCTCAAATGCTTATATTAAAAGTAAATTAATGAAAAATCATCATTCTTTTTCATTGTTAATTTCAAAATGGAAATTCTATAAAGCAAGATGAACTTGCACACCAAAAATTTACACAGTCAAAACAACAGCAAAAATATCCTATATAATAAAAATTAAGACAATATACCCAAATTAAAAAGTTGAACTTTCTGCCTAAAATAATGTAGTATGATTCATATTCTCTATATTCCTATGATTCATAACCCTCATAAAACTACAATATTAAATAAAACTGAATAACCACTGGAAGAGTAAAACAAATCTGATTTGAATAGTCAGTTGATTCACTCTACTGGATATCTGATTTCCATTAGAAAACATAATGTGAAAAAACATACACAAATATTTAGAGGAAGGAAACCTGACTACATAAAA